GGCTGTTCCCCCAGCTGCAGTCCAAGCCCCTGGGGGAAGGCTGACTGCAGCTGCGAGGAACACAAGGGCAGTCTACTCCTGGTTGCCGGGGGTGCCATTTCCCTAGCAACACGGGGGCAATACTTCCTCAGCCACAAGAGAGTCCACAGCTATGGCCGTGCTACTTGCCTAGCAATACCGGTGCTGGGGGGTGGGGGGTGGAGCCTCTCTGGCAACAAGGGTCAACCCATAGTTACCAGGGGGAGGTTTGGCTTCCTTAGCAACAGTGTAACCGTAGTTGGTGGGAAAGGCATGCTCTCTGCTGGGGAACAGCACTGGTCAGGAATTGGAAATTGCTATTTTCTTGCAAACAGAGGGCAGCTGAGGGCTGCTATGTGAGAATATCCCACGGGATGGAGCAGTGCTAGCTCCTAGCAACAAAGGCGCAGTGCAGGGGGAGCCATATCTGCAGCAACAGAGCAAAACTTCTGGCAAAAAGGAGGTGAAGTACTGTTGCTAGGGATCCTGCTTCCCTAGCAAATAGCAATGTTCTGTTGCTAGGGAACCGTTTCCCTAGCAACAGAGGGGGACCCACCACTACCAAAGGATGGCATCCCAGCAAGCAGGAACAACCTGGTTCTGGCGGATGACACTTCCATTGCAACAGAGGGGTGGCACAGGGTTGCTAAGTTACCACTTTTTCCTAGCGACAGGGGGCAGTTCACCATACTGTGAGGTGACAAGCGCTAGCAACAAGGGGCATCTGTCAGTACCAGGGGTCTTTTCCCTACCAATAGGGGCTGGCAGGCCGTGGTTGCCAAGGGGGCAACACTCTGCTAACAAAAAGATGATGGCCCTGGCCCCTTGCTCCCCGCTCTCCTCCCTGCTAGGGGCAGAGCCAGCCCTTGGAGGTGGGGGCTGCTGGGTCTTGGGAAGCCTCCCTGGCGCCACCTGACCTGCTGGGGGGTGGGCCCTGGCCCGGGTTTTGGCGGCCACGGGGTAGGCCCCGAAGCCGGCGGCAATGCAGCCACACTCAGTGGCAATCCAGGCCACGTAGAAGCGCATGCGGAAGGCGAAGAAGACCGGGATCATGTAGAAGAGGCGGGCGGGCAGCCGGGGGCGTAGAAGGCGTCCTCGCGCACGGCCTCCAGCGGGAAGAGGTGGGAGGAGAGCAGGAACAGCAGGCCGAAGAGCGGGGCCGG